GGAATATTTGTTAACAAAAGAAAATCAAACCTTTCTGTGACTTGGTTAAGATGAAAGCAAGACAGGAAACTAATAAAGAGGATCAGAGAACCTGGAAATAAATGTTGACAGGCTTGTGAACGGGCAGTTTAAAATCACATACTATTAAGCATTAGCTTTCTGCTTAAGTGTTTGCCCACAAGATTGCCTTTCCCTAGTAAAGGCTGGAGATTACCCACAACTCATTTGTGTTTGCAGGTTTTCTGTGAGTGTGTGTGGGTACATCCTACCATTTATCAGCCACAATGCACTGAGGCCACAAGTCTCCTGCCTCATTAAAAGAGAGTGAGCCAATTGAAAAACAACTCCCTTCTCCCTTGGCGCATCTGAACATATGGTGCAGGAGTAGTATGCTTAATTTTGAAACAGTCAGATCTGGAAAGAAGCTAAGCAGTTTGGCAAAAAGTAGGTAATAAAACTTTGGATATACAGAGTTATATAGTTTTCCTGTTTTGACAAATAGAGTTGGTGGACTACAGCTTCAAGCTTTGTAGTGTTTCTCACACACTGAGAAATAAAGACTAAAAGTTACAGTATTACAAGCTTTAGTGGAACAATAAAAATAGAAGCATGACCCTACTCCAATGTGGAAATGTCTCAGAGCTTCACAAAATCATCAAGTGAATATAGAGTGCTGGTGAACTCAGCATACTGTGATATAGGGCATTGTATCATCACCATTTCCTACTGTCAGAAAACATAATGACAGAAGAGAAGGTCGTTGCTTGACTCCTTGTATGTTTAATACAATGGGATCTAATATGTCACCTTAAAGAATTGTTCATAAGTGCCACAATACAGGCTTTTAACAATCTCTGTTCCACAACTTACATAGTCTGAGGATGGGTGGTGCTGGTTGGTGTCATGCCATCAGTCTCACCTTTTGCATTGACATGAAAATATGGTGCCAATTCCTGCCATTCAGACTGCTTTTTGCTTAGACAGATTTATTTTTTAAAAAACTATATTTACATGTAAGAGTTAAACTTCTCACTATCTGTTCATCCTTTTGCACAAGGAAGTTGCTACTGTATCTCAAGAAAACTACCATTCTGTACAGCCTCTTCCAGGCTAAGCAACTGAATCACAGACTGGTTTGGGTTGGAAAGGACCTTAAAGCCCATCCAGTCCCACCCCCCTGCCCCAGGCAGGGCCACTTTCCACTAACCCAGGTTGCCCAAAGCCCTGTCCAACCTGGCCTTGAACCCTTCCAGGGAGGGGGCAGCCACAGCTCCTCTGGGCAGCCTGTGCCAGGGCCTCACCCCCTCACAGGGAAGGATTTCTTCCCTATGTGTAATCTAAATCTCCCCTCTTTCAGCTTAAAACAGTTACCCTCATCCCGTCCCTCCCCCCGTTCCTGCAGCCCCTTTCAGCCCTGGGGGGCCGCTCTAAGGTCTCCCCGGAGCCTTCTCTCCTCCAGCTGAACTCCCCAACTCTCTCAGCCTGTCCTCACAGGGGGGGGCTCCAGCCCCTGAGCATCTCCGTGGCCTCCTCTGGACCCACTCGAGTAAGTCCTTGTCCTTCTTATACTGGGGAGATCTGTGTTGCTCTTACATTAACTGCTATACTTTCATTCAGCTTTAAAAAGAAAATAGTCACTGCTTGAATGCAGACCTTGCAAGTTTTGTTCAAAATGGTCTTCCAGAGAACACAGTCTCTTGGGACAGCAATGGGGAAGCTTTCATCAGCACTAAGAATGCAGAAATCCATCACTTCTGCAGCCAAGTAAATACTCACTATTTTATGGCACCATATATTCAATCAAAACAAAATTACTTAATTACTTTTGGTTTTCTTTAATATTTTTTTTCCCCAAAGATGTCGCATTCCCTGCTGAATATTAGATTGATACTGGTTAACTAGAAAACAGTAAAGTTAGCCAGCATGGAATGTGACTTCATTGCTAAATAAAAGGACACTCTTCTACTGTGTCATGACATGGTCTCATTCTGATGTAAATAATGTAGTAGAATAGATTCAGCACTTCTCTGTCTGCTTAATGATACGAGTTCAAACTTTTGCATGAGGAGAAGGCTGAAAGAGAATGTTCAGACAGTACTCCTTAAAGCTAACTTTCTGTGTCAAATACATAAAGCTAACTATTTTTTTATTATAGTCTTAACTAATAAGCTGGAACAAGACTTAGGAAAGCTCTTCCTACCATATTTGCACAATGAAAGCATAATACCCAACAAGGAAGTGTTTCTGCAGCTGGAAGAAGGGAGAAAAAAAGAAAAACACAACAGTGAGGTAGAATAAATGGAACAGATCTTTTCTCCCTCTTTACCAGCAGCACAGAGTGCTGGGATGGAAAGAGACTTACATTTAGTTACTTCCTTCCACAACACACCAAGAAGCAGAGCAGCTGATTTTGTTATCCAGCTCCAGCAGATGTGGTTTGAATTTCCATGCACACGGGCATGAGGGCAAACACAGACGTAGGCGTATGTCTGTGTACCCTGCTATTTCCACGTGCTCATGTTTGACTGAGAAGGCCTATCTGTAACTTTTCAGTCACCCACAGCCTGTAAGGAGTTCAAGCCCAACTCCAGAGCCAGGGTTATGCTTTGTCACCAGGAGAAGGGCTGTAATAATGCATGATTAGTCCAAATCCCTGAGAAGAAGCAAGACAGCTGGGACTACTAAGCCTGGCATCACTAGATGGTAGCAATCGAGCTGTGCACTGCAGTAGGGAGACACCTGGAAGCCATTTCCTGCTTGTGAACTGATGTCCCGCCCCCTTCCTCTCAAAGATAAGTCTATGCACTGTGGCTTTTGGCCACAGGGAGTTTTTTAGATTTGTAATGTCAGGAAGGTTTGCTTTAAAGGCACCATTCCTGGTCTTTCATTACATAGAAAACTTCAAAAGTCCAATTTTTTCCCTCTGATGATTTTTTTTTTTCAATATCTATTGACCTCAAATTTTTCCCAACTCTGAAAAAGTCTTTTCAATTTCACCTCAAAACTGGCAAATGCACTTTAACAGGATAGAGACTGCTTAGGTAGTTACCAAGCTTTCACACTGCCAATGCCAAAGCCATCGATTTCTAGCCATACCTCACTAACATACAACAGGTTAAGATTTGCACACACCCCCACTCTTAAATACTTGAAGTTTCCTTGACTGTGCAAAGTAAGCACATATTTTGTCCATGAGAATGGATCTGAGCAGTATCTCTTTTGTCAGTTGGGTTTCTCTTGTGCATTGTAATTCTTGCCAGGAGACGTCTTCTGACTGGGTTGTTTTGTTTTTTTTTTATTTCTGGAAATATTTCATTTGGCAGAATGGTCTCTGTTTTAGCTACTGGGTAAGGTAAGGAAATCAACAGGAGCCACCAAATTCTAAGATGACAGAATTTTTCACTTCCTGTCTTTAAAACCACTTAAGACTAGAAGCATTCATTGCTTTGTCAGTTTGAAAATGCTTCAGCCTTTTCTTGATATTTTCTGTGGAACTGTTGGTCTTAGAAAAATTATTATCAGAGGAGGAACACTCTTGTATTTCTGACACAAGTTTATGAACAACCTCCAAATAATTAATTTTCTTTTTGCTAAAAGAAATATCAATTTTCATAGCTGAACTCTAGAAATTTTTGAAAACAAAAAAAGAGAGCCAAATGTTAGGAGGCCAATAGAAATGGTTTTGTGAAGTCTTATGCAAAATGTCACTCATTCTTCAAGATTTTGAGAAAGTTACTTTTTACCTAAAGACGTTTGTTTTAATGTACAGTTCAGTAGTATTATGTTATGATACTGTTGCAGTGGTTGTAAGATTTTGATAATTGATTTTCATCACTTAACCGGTGATCTATAACTGCAAAGTCTGAATGCAGGCTTAGCCTCCAAGTCTGCCTGGGGAAGGTAGAACTTTTTTAGGAAAGTCACACTCTCGCTCTTTAGAAATATAAATGGTAGCAAAGTGTAAGTGGTCAGAGTGCATCAAGGGCTGCCTCCTACCAAAGGAGCCAAACTGATACTAGAGCCAGTGTGACAGAGGCCTCACCAGCCGAGGCCCAGTCCCGCAGTACCAGAGCTAGAGAGCAGGGAAGGCTCAGAGGAGGCAGCAGGGGTTAAGCAAAAGTCCAAATACCAGACAAGTTTGCAGTGGCGTGGCAGGTCCAACATGAAGGCAGGCAGGCAGTCTGCAGGTCAGCGTCAGCCCAGGAACCAGCAGGCAGGACCACAGCAACAGGCAGAGCTGAGATAAAACTGGGAAGCCAGCCCAGCTCATGATCTGATCAGCAGGGTCCACAGCCAAGCACAGGCACGCCTAAAACACCGCTCCGACAGGGACACGGGCAGAGGCCCCAGGTGGGGCTGGTCAGGGCCATTAAGTCCTATTGGTGCACTCAGGCCCCTGACATAAGTCAGTAGAACATCAAATCTCATATTTTCATGTATAAGCAAGAAAGGGGGAGAATTATGTTTGTCGTTTGACCTGTGCTGCATTTTCTGACCCCTGAGTGCCTGATTTCTCAACCATGATATTACAGTAATGCTATGTCTACCCATAGTTTATATAAACACAGAGTATGTTAAACAACTGACTTATGATGTGAAGCTTTTGTTTTCACTAAATTCTAGACCATCTGTGTACTAAAAATTTTGTAGACTTGGAAAGATCTGTCTATTCAGTTCTTTCACTAAGTAGTTACAGATACTCCTGGAGTATTCTTCCGTATGTACTTTGACATTCATATTTCATTCCTTTTTTCAGTGCAGTTAAGCATCTGTTGGATCTCAAGGCTTGGTTGATACTCCTGTACTTTTGAAATGTCTTCTTTGCTCATCTTAAACCTTTAAAATTCTCTATTCATGTGCTGTTCAAATTATGGAAATTAATGCAAGCTTTTTTTCCCAAGGCTTAGAGTTGCTATAGCAGAGTTTGAGGTCACCTGATTTCTGAGAAAGGTTGGTCCATGTCTATCGATAAGCAATGTTCTCTTTTTCATCTTTCCTAGCTGAAGCAATACATGCTGCTATCTCATATTCTGGGACACAGAGCAGGATGTCAGCAGCACTGCAAGATACAGTTAAACAGGTACTCCATACCTCTTGGATTAATTCCTGTTCAGGGTGACAAGTGTCCAGTTGGCTAACCATATCCCTCATGCTATAATTTACAAAATGCATGATTCTCCTCCTGGCAGAGAGAAGATTCAAAGCGTACTAACTTCTAGCAAGTCCTCACTGGGGAAATTTGGGCAGATGGGACCCATTTCAGTGCCTCCCGTAAAGGGATTTGATCCCAGCAGATTGTTTCAGTGGTTACTGCAATGCAGTCATTTGTTCCCTAGTTCTGGCTGGCCAGGACTAGAAGCAAAAGAGAAACAACAGGTTTTGTTCCAAGTGTAAAGAGTGAATAGGTAAGAAGTTAAGAGCATCAGTGCTGGGTCAAGCCAAAAGCACATCTAGCTCAGTATCCTGTCTTGAACAGTGGTCAAAGATGGGGGTCTTGCAAGAGGGAAACACTTTTTAACTTTTCCTTGCAAAAATTATTTCCTCCACACCTCTTCTTCAGCAAAGTTAGCAGGACAACTGCATAAAAGCTAGTAATTCATGTTTTATGCAAGACAAAAGGGATCCAGGTCTTGCTGATATAAACAAACAGCATTGTTTCAGTGCTGGTTATCTCTGCTTGAGAATATGACCTAAAACTTTTACACAGAAAGAATAGACTAAATTTAGACTAGTAGCCATATCAAACTTCATGATCTGTCTACTTTTGATGTCTTCTAGCAGATCATAGCACTGCTCTGTTTCTAGTCGTGACACTTTGTTTTGATTTCAATAACCTAATATGAATTAAAATAGCAAGTGCATAGCAACACCTTTTTAGAATGAGTGAGTGATGCTAATAAGCATGTTTTGTCAAGACTTTCTGAGCCATGGCTTTCATCTCAGCCCATACAATACATGTATGATAAAAAATAATTAACCCCCGAGCTTCTGGATAAAGGGTTGTGAAAAGCATGTATGAAATACCAACACAAAAACTATAAGTCAGTGTAGGAAAAAAGATTCAGTGTGGTCACTTGAAATATAATCACTATACTCTATTTTTAATAATAATGTTATTAACATCAGAAAAACTGGACATGGTCTGACAATAGATGCAGCTAAAAGGAACCAAGCACTACAGAGGAGGATTCCTGCTCAACATAAAAATGAAAAAGATTGTGGGCATGGACACAAGCAAACTGCTGTTTGCATCTAGTGGAAAATTGAGGGCTCACTAAACGAAAGGGTTAATGAAGGGATTACAAGAATGAACTCCAGGCAGCCAGTGGATTCAATTCCCCTAGATTGTTGGGACTACAGAAAAGCTGCATATCTTTCTTTGTCTCTTGTAATTGCTTTGTTCATTACCCTCCTAAATCCTCAAAACAAACAACAAACAAGCTGAGCCCTCCTGTCACACAGACACAGTCTTGCTATTAAAAAGGTTCCACTTGTGAAAAAGACTCTTGTCTATTTCTGTGCTTTTTAACATTTTATCCTCTTATCAGGTTGAAGGTCAACAGAACTCACAAAGAAAATATTCCAGTTTGTTTCGCTGACAACTAGTACTTTACTGGAGATGCATGGTGTAAATCATATTCTTATTTTCTGGTACACTTTGGTACAATTTTGTCATCTTTTAAAATCAACTGGTATTTTTCTCACTGATTTCCACAAGGCCAGAACTGTGATTTTGGGGTCTGACAGTCTTGTCAGGGTTTAACATACCTGAATTAGCAGAATTATATGTAGTGATAACTTTCATATTTTCAAACTGAAACTGTAGGAATAAAAAATATAACAGTCTATCACTTCATTCTTTGATGACAGAGCTCTATTAAAAATAAATGTTTTCACTAAAGTTCCACTACTTCAAAAATTTCTGTCTGAGGTAACACAGAACTCTCCAACATACTTTAAAATAGTGACCTGTGTTTCTGTTTAACCCAGGGACTGTAAAAATGGTTATACTATCAAGTAGAATAAAATTAGGAAATAAATAGCTTAACAGATGTTCAGTGGGACACACTTTTCTTCTCTTGTGGGTGCCAGCTCACTACTGAAAAGAAGGTACCGGCAAAAGCCCCCGGCATGCCTGAACTGCAAAGGCAGTCTGACGAGGACTTGTCTGAGTCAGAAGCAGGGGGGGTCTCTATCGCTGGCAAAAAGGGAGCTGTAATGTAGGGCAGGCCTTCTGCCCTCCCAGCCTCTCAGCCTGCAATCTTCGGGGTCTGTTTTCACACAGTTTACAGAGGTGTAACTATACCATCTTCAACCAGTATTCCCCACGTGCACCAATTAAAGTCTAATCAGAGTACAGCCTTCTTGAACTACACATCCCCCTGAAGCACTTAGAGAGACGACATTGTGGCAAAACTCACGGACAAAAAGCTAGACCACATCGCCTGTAAATAGGGACAGAAGTGGGTATGAATCACTTCCCACCCCCACGCCCACCCTTAGGTAGAACTATGAACTGGAGGCCTTGCAATCAGAAGGTATCTCTGGCCTGTCCTGAATTGCTCTCACAGGTAACATTATTCCCAAAGATCACGATACCACTCATACATGATTTGGGGATCAGGAGAACCACTGCTAACTTTATGTCAATCCATCCCTTTTGTGTGCCACTGGCTTTAAAAATCCAGTTGGCTTTTTTGGCTTCTCTGACTCTTAGAAGATACACAAGCTACAGTTAGAAAGGTTTTTCTATTCTCAGAGATGTACAGAAAGGGAGAAAAGTGTAGAAGGTTATAGTAAGTGTGTGAATCCTGCCATTTAGATTATAAAAGGATTTTTATAATCAAAAATATCCTGGCCAGAAACAGTTTCAGGTTTCTTTGGTATTTAGAAATCCTTTGCTAAACAAAGCAAAAATGAATGATAAACAAAATCAAGCTTCCTTTGAGCCTGATGTTCTTGCAGCTGCACTCCACTTTTAAGAGTAACCCATTAGCAATTAATTTAGAATGACACTGGCAAGCAGTCCCCAGACTTTAATTAATGTCTTTTTGACAAGCTCATAATCTTTCTAGTTAATAAAATCTCCCTTAAATTAGTTTATCTCTGATTTCACTTAATGTTGTAAGCAATTGGCATCAAATCTAGGGTACTTTACAGTACTTTCTAATTTAAAATGCTTTTAAAAAGAGAATTTACAGTTACATTTTACAGAGCAGAAACAGCATTTGATGAAGGTCACCCTCAACCCAGTGGCAAAGCTGGAAAGAAAATCTAGGTTCCTGAATGCCCCTCTGTTGTTCAGTTGGGTAAGCAATGGTGCTGTCTCCTGTCTCAGCACCTTGCAAGGAAAGGATTCGATTCTGATTCCAAGTTGCATCACTGATTCATTTTCTTTATGCCAATAGCAGGATGTTAGAAAGTTACAGTATAAGACTGTGACTAAAGTATAGTGAAATATTCTCTGTAAAAGTTACTTAAATACTAAGTATCAATATAGGACATCTTAGGGGTCTTTTCATTTAAATTTGTGCTCTTAATATGTGCGTCTACTTTTGAAAACTTTGCCCTTAATACTCTGTGACATTTTACCCATATGTCCCAAACACAGACCCAATCTACGGGAGGACATCATGCAGCCACATCACTGTCCTGCAGAATAGGAGATAATACTGTGAATTGGAAAAGAGGCTGAGATAAAATCTCCTTTGACCTCTTGGTAAGTCAAGAACTTTATACAGATGTTCTGAAACGTGCTATACATGTGTCTGTTATATATGTGTATTACGAGGGGTAAAATAATTATTTACTCTCCTGAACTCATTTTCTTATGTAGATGCTGTAAGGAGGTAATTTTTTATATGTAAGATCACCTCAACCTTTCTTTCTATTTTGCCTACAGGGGTGCACAAGTTACTGTCAGGCTTTGAGTGTGAAAGGTTTTTTCAGAATTTAGAAAACTCCAACGACCAGAGTGTAAAGTCTTAAACTCGTTACACCTACAAAGAAAGGCGATCTTTTCATTTTAAAGCTAATCAGTGTTTTGTATGTAAGAGACAATTGTAAAAAAATATCTGTCTAAGCACTGGATGACTCTACTGTAATTTACTGCCATGGGACACTGAAATAAGATCATTTTTGAAGGTAATTTTTGCCAAGTGAGGATATAACAGTTTTAATTTGGTGATTTACAGGGATGGCTTGTTTTAATTTTTACTTTTCATGTAAGATGAGGAATGAGGTGAAAATGAGGTATGAAAAAAACCCAAGATTTGCTTATTAGTCTCATCCATCTTAAATAAATGCAACAGCCTAATTGAAAAATCTGTCTCATTAACAAGAACTAAGATAATCAAGATGTCTGAGAACGGCAAGCGATGCTATGCAACTTAATTTGATCCCAAGACCAGAAGACATCTCACCATCTCTAGAAGTCGTGAGCAGTCTGTCTATGCACTCCAAAAGTATTTGTCTGGGACACGTAAAACTGAAAATAACATGTTACAAACACCCTGAGGAACAGTTTTAGTAGCAGTAGGCATCAGTTTGTACCATGACCTTAGAATACTAACTTTGCACAAAGGAGTTATTTTACGTTGCTTCTTTGGTTTTTGTTTTTTCCTCTTCTTAAGTCAATGCTGACAAGACATATTAGCTAGTGAGGAAAAGCGCAAAAAATGTTTTCAATCAGTAGGATATTCTTCAGCTGAATTTCTACAGTTGTTCCTTAAGCGCTTGCTGCCTACATCAGTATCAGCATGCTGAACCAGAAGCCTTACTGCTGTGACAATCCCTAGGTTTCTGTGGCAATGATAATTCCATTCCAGAAGCCACAGATTAGAAAATGGTTTCTTACAGTGAAACACCAAACAAAACACAACATGATCCTCCTCCTTTCTCATGCGTGTTAACTGCAAAAAGTGTCTTTGTCCGGAATGTGGCTCTGATTACATTTCTCTATCCAAAAATAAACATGGTGCAGAAGAAAAGGATATAGGGAGGGGGGAAAGCCTGTCAATGGGCCACCCTCAGGAAAACCTCACAAGATCTACTGTCTGTCTGTGCAAGACATGGAAGAGCTAAGGAAGTGATCCCAGCTTGGTGGTCTTATTTTTAATTAAAACTAATGAGGCTCTTTCAGCTGCTGCAGATAAATATTTGATGAAAAGAGACAGGGACAGATGTCAAAAAACTGTAGTAAATAGAGAATGTGGCTAGAAGAGCAAATGTTACAACAGCAGTTTATATTTAGAAAAATAAAATAAAATCTCTTTACAGAATTCTATTAAGATCATTCTAAAAGTGGAAAGATTAATTCTTCATATTCATTTTGACAAAGTAGAATGAAAATACAAATGCATATAGATAAAGAAAATGTTTTAGGTCAACTTGTTGCACATTATGTGCTTAAACAAAAGGGTTAGTTCTTGGGCCATTGATGAGACAAAAGACTTCAAAGGTATTTTTATACACTATAGTAACAACATCCCTATTGCAATAATCTGTCATAACATTTGTAAATCGTGTCCTTCATGAATGGTTAATTTTAAAAGGTGAATGAGGTACCATTCCATCTTTTCCTGTAGTCACAGTTGTATTTACCAGTACACTTGGATCTCACTTCAAACTTCACCTTGCTCTCAGTGGGGATTTACACAAGATGACCTCCAAAGGTCCCTTCCACTTCCACTTCTATGACTTGATAGTATTATGTCCAGATTTTAGTTCACTTTTTAACAACTCTCTATGAAAAAAAATGATCTAATGGAATGAACTTAAAAATAGGCCATAAAAGAAAGCCAAGTCATGAAATAGAGGAAAAAACCTCAGTAGTTGGCTCTTTCAAGATTAATGTCTTAATTGTTAGCATTTTATTGGCATTGCTTGCTAGTTTAGGGTCTGATCTTGCCTTTTCTGGGTGAAATGGATATTTCCATTTAGTCCAATGTGAGTTATACATCTGAGTGTAAACAAACTGATTTTATAAGTAGGCCCTACAAAACTGTAGAGCGAGTGTGACCCACAGGAGTTTCAATGGAAATATTTAATGTGACACCAGCATTTAAAAACAGCACAGTGATCCAGGTCACCAGAAGCTGGATAAATCGATAAAATCCAAATTCTGAAAATATAACTACTAGAGTTACACATGAATAGAGTTCTGAAATATATACCTGACTCTGAAGAGGGTTAAGAAGAAAAAGTAAAAAGTTGATTAACTGCAGGGGGATACTATAGAGCTATAGGGTCCAACAATAGGCACAGGTGAAAGCAGAGCAGCATCCGGTGACATAAAACAAAATTTAAATAAGTTCAGAGAGATGAGGAAGAAATGTTAAACACTGAGGAAAAGTAACCTTAGCTGGCAGTGAACTTTCCATAATTGGAGGTAATTAATTCAACCTAGAATTCTAATGACTATGTATTGGTTAAATTGAGAGGTACGGACCTCTATAAAAACTACAGGAGGTACTTCATAGCGTGCAGAAGGTCAAAGCAAATGATGATAATTGTCTCTTCTGGCCACAGTACGTGCAGATTTGTAGTGTTCAGCATAACAAGCCTCTTGAGGTTTTCTGGAGCTGACATAAAACTCCTAATCCATGGGTCATGCAAAATACCTGCCCTTTCTGTTGTTGCAGATTTCAGACAAAACCAAAGAGTGATAGTCTCAAGTGTAAAACAATCTGACAGGTAAATTTTAATTTGAGGATCAAACACAAAGAACTCAATAGCAATCTTGCTTGGCACAAATTTACTTGTGATCTGACGGACCAGGCTGAACCCAACAAGCTCCCAGAGATAACAGTTTGTCAATTCCCCATTTCAAAGGCAGCGTGATAATTGAAAGTTTCCAGATATATCACATGGAAATCAAACTTCCAGCAAACAGCAAACCTTCTGATAAAGGCCTAAGCCTCATTCCACACAAGTCAACGACATACCCCAGCAGCTTTCAATAGAAGTTGAGGGAGGCTCAAGGTGAAAAACAACTCTGAGAGCAGCTATAATCAACTCAATCCCCAGTTAGGACAGAAACAATGTGAGAGGATTCTTTATGAGTGGTGCCTGGGCTGAGAATTTGCAAAGAGAGAGCTGCAAGGATCTCTGACACGGAGCACTTTAAGGGACCCTTGCAGAAGCAGATAGCATTTGGCAAGGTCAGCATGTCCCTGGTTAGCACGGGATTACCATGCCCAGCTGAGAATTTACATGGAACCTGACAGCAATTACCCCCTTTATTTAGCCCCAGGCTATCTACAGGCTGTCAGCACACGCTGCAGCCAAACCCTTGTGCTGGAGTGTAAACACACGGTGTGGCTGATGAAGCAATAAATAAAATGAGTAGGCAGAGGGGGGGCATCAGCTTTGCTTCTGTTTTCTAAACAAATGTAAGGGCTACAACATGTACAATGCCTAAGATCCACGGCATGTCCACTGCAGGACATGTGGCTCCAGCTAGAGCGTGACTCGGCCTCACACCAACGAAGAGTGACCACGCTGGATCCACGTGCACCAGTGGCAGACATTCAGAGTACCCATACACCAGTTCTGTGCTACTGGAGCCATCTCCCAGCCCCACTGGTGTTTACACAGGCAGAAACTGGGCACCTTCTCTAAGGACCTTCCCTTTTATTTTTCAGATTGCAAAGGAAATGGATGGGAGACATGTTTGGTGTTCCTAATCATCAGCGACGTGTTTTATAGAGATCCACTTCTGTAAGGACTTCTGTGCTGTGTCAAATACAAGCAAAGAGGAAAAAACCAATATTTTCCCAATTCCTTGTTTAAAAAGGTAAGGAGAAGGCCCCAGAGTCATAATCACTCCTTCCAATCCTTTACAGATGATGTTAAGGCATACAGAAATGAAAGGACTCACCAAGATTATGCCACACAGTCAGGATTTAAACTCAGAACTTCTGAATCCAACCCCAGTGCCTGAACCACACATTCATTTTCTTCTCTGTATTCCCCCAGAGTCTTAGGCCATGTGGCCACTACTGGTGAAATGAAAAACAGGTGCAGATCCACAAACAGATGGGAGACCAGCCCTGGCTGATCTCTGGAGATAATACAGAGTTGTTTTCCGGCAAGGAGGATTCCAAAGAACCACAGAGGCAGCACCCCTGCCCTAAAAGTGAAGCTGCCCTGCCTCACACTAAATGTTATCTTCAGCAGCCCAGCAAGTGGGAGTTTTGAGGCATGGTCTGTTGTCTGTCAGCAAAGGACACTGCCTTACTGACCTCTCAGACTTGCAATATTGACATGTCTGGTTTTCAGGCATGCCTATAAAGATTGTAGAAGACTAATTGCAATTCCATTCTTTGCAGTAACTGCAGCCAATGTTTCTAAGTTGCTGAAACATGACATTTCTTCCCTAGAGTAGACAACTTTGGAATGTCTAACCCTCAAAAAATGCCATTAGTCATATGCAGAATCTTTCTCTGGGAAAATAACTAGTGGTATGGGACAAATAACCCAGGTAAGATGAATAATATATTTGTTCTGAATCCATAAGGACAGATTTGCTTTTGATTTCCAGTTCATGGGGAGCTGATGGCTTACTCCACAATGCATAGCTAAACAAAGAACTTGGACTGCTTTCTCAGGAGGAGGGAGAGTGATAGTAGACAACTAACAGGGCAATCACCTGGTCCTAAGCACAGGACAGAGTGCTAGGATGCAAAATACTTCCCTGCCTTGTGTGACCCACTGTTATAGTCCCCCCATGGTACGGGACACATTTTCCCTCCGTGTGTCACCTGAGACATCAGGCAGAGGTATTAGAGAAGGCATAGAAATCCTTGTTTTCCTCAGATCCACAGAACACAGATCAAACCCAAGAGGATAGCACGTGCAAGAGGACAGGATATATTTCATAGAATCATAGTTTGGGTTGGAAAGGTCATCTAGACACCACCCTTGTCATAAAAATTTCTTCCTTATATCTAGTTTGGATCTATCCTCTTTTAGTTTAAGACTATTACGCCTTGTCCTGTCACAACAGACCCTACTAACATTTCATCTTAGGTACTACTGGTTCCAGCCTTCTCATAGGTTTCTTTTAGTTGTCCTTGCTAATGCTGCTTTTACAGCAACAATGCATGTCCACTTGTGCCAAGAAACTCAGATAAGACCTGGCTGTTTCCTTAGACTCTTATTTAAACTGGGGGCACAAAACCTGATTTGCAGCAGTAGGCCACAGACACACTGCTAACATACACGTATTCTGCTCATGCTAAACTGTAAATCAGATTGGTTAGGAAAATCTGTCTTACCCCAGTTTTGAAGGAAAACATTCTCCGCAGATGACACTAATAGAGGCTTACAGCAAGGACCACCTAGGACACTGGGAATCTCAAACTGCTTGGCCTCAGATTCTCTGATTTGTTCTTCTCAGCTTCATGTGTGCTCTTTGAGACAAAAAAAAAGAGCATTTCCTTCATTTTGAGCTTGGATTTCTCTTCCAGCTGAACATTCACAAAAGCAGCTGGTCCCAGAGGTGGAGCGTTCCAAACCCCCATTTGGAGCCCAGTACGGACGTTATGGAGTCAGCCGCGACGCTACTTTATAGAGAACAGACAATGAGTTTTGGATCTCTTAAGTACCTTTCCTCCCTGCAAATGCGTTCCCTTCCCCCATTCTTTTGGAAACATCTCTGTCTGTATTGGAAACAGAGGATGTAATTTATTTTTATCGCCTTCCCCGTCAAACTGGCCAACTGCCACAGAGTTCTGCTTTCAGATGTAGCAAGAGGCAGGAGAACTGCAGTAAAAGCCATTCATTTCAGTGGCTCCTCCTCTGTTTCCTTATCTTATGCTGAGGCTACCTACTGTGCTATCTTATCACTCTTTCTAATCCTGCAAAACTTCTCTGCAACTTGACCCCTCCACAGAAAGAGCTGACCTGCTTCTCTACTCCTTCTCCCTTCCTCACAGAGCAAATTTCTCCTTCCTTTGTTACTTCAGGACTTTTTCATTGCCTGTCTTACCCCTCGCTCCTCCTTCTCCTAGCTCGTCACACTGCATTACATGCCCTAGCTGAATGTCCATACAGCTGTGTGGCCTCCTTGGGGTATGCTTCATTTCTCACTGTCCTGCCTGCCCTTTGATGTCTCCTGAAGTAGGACACATCTTCTGTTCCATCTCTTCACATGTGCCCATTAATTGCTCTCTTCAGAGGGACTGTTTACTGACTATCACTGTTTACAGTTGAATACAGCTAAACATTTGGTCTTCACAGTCCCCCCCCTTCTACACCACCCACCCAGTTTCTTCCCAATTGTTGCAAAATGGATGTCTGCAAACCACTTTATAAAGTCACAGATGCAATGTACTTAGATTCCCACAGCCAGCCTCCTTCTCGCAAACACTGGTTTTGCTTCACTTACAGAGAATTAAAGACTGCCTCTATGTTGGTATTTTTGTCTCCAGTTCTCTGATACAAAAAGAAGCAGTAAGGCTTAACAATTTGGCCTTTCTGTTGCACATATTCCTACCTTGGGTACTGTAGAAAATCCAGTCAGATCAGTAAGCATCGGACTTCTGACCTGTGAAGAAATGATACAAACTCAGTATGAAGTACAGAAGTATGCTCCCTGAAATGAGGGCTGTCCCATGCGTATGGCTCCATGGGCTCAAGGGCCCCGGGCAGAGGGAATTATAGTTGGCCGGGGGGCAGGGATAAAAATTACTCTAGCAAATGTGCAGAAGAGAAGAATGATATGGTTAGAATGCAGCAATTCATATGTCAGATGAAAATTCCTTCAGATGTCCTTCTCATTCCATATGGAGCTTAAAATATTACAAAATAATATGAAATAAATTTAAAACAAATGTGGGCTAAATTATGTATTTTCCAATGAACAGATTATTGTCAATCTTGTGCTTTAAAACAGTATTTGGGAAGAGGAAGGAAGCAGATACCTCAAAGAGTTTAGGAATTGCGTTATACAAGGTGCCTGAAGCTCACGGTGTGAGCACGAGCCGGAAAGGGCGCGAGGAAGGCTGGCAGTGAAGGCTGTGCGCTGGCACAGCTCGGCAGTGGAACAGCCCCAGCACCCCGAACTCAGCTGTGCCCTGGCCCTGCAGCCTGCGGGCCACCGTTAGACACGGTTACACGTCCCAGGGGTAAGGCTACCTGCTACTTTCCAGTTTCAGCTCCTGTTTTTAGTGCCTATTACCTTACAGATTTTAACCATGGGAACAAGTTTTCAGTCCTGAAAATCTTTGACAGATTTTCAGCAAATACAATCCAGCCTTTCCAATAATTTGATGAAGAGGAACTGCTGCTTTGCACACATTCCTTTTTTGTTACTATTACTGAGGAATTTTACTGTCCATAAATCTGCTGCTCACCAGTTAGAATGGTAACAGGATGTGATATGTTTTTGTAGGTCCTTGAAATGTTCCTTTCCACTGAAAATTGCCTAAAACCGCTACTGGTTTAATGAGCATACGTTCAGTGTAGGCTAATTAGATTTGGGTTAACTGAAACATCCCCTGTCATTACTCCTTCAGGCCTGAAGGTGAGTGCAGCAGTGCCTGGCGGGGCTGAGGACTCCCCCTGCCCCCTGGCCCTGCTGCTCTTCCACATGCTGAGGAGGAAGAGTCAGCTGCTGCTTCGCCCAGCCCTGACACTGCTGAACCTCACCGCTGCTCCTCATGCTGCAGCAGGAAACCTGCACCACAGGGATCATTCCATTAGTTAAGCACGAACCTGGAATTGACAAGTTTTAAGGTTGCTTATAACCAACAGAATTTGGAGATCTCCCATGTCAGAGGAACTGGGGTGGGGCAGGGACAAGGGAGGAAGGAAGCCCAGGAAGAGCTGTGGAAGCTCAGTTTACATCACCTGCCAGCTGAAAAGTCAACAGTTGTGGAAACAGTAGAATTAACTAGTTGTGGTCATGGTCATTTTTCATCGGTTATCCTGGCTATGCAAAATAGCCACACCAGAAAAACAGACAGCAAAGCTTAACAGACATGTCATTTTTGGTTTCCTTCACACTCTTTTCCCTGATACTCCTGTAAATACAGAATCTGTATTTAGATCTAAAAAACTTTTGAATGAGAACTTTACTGACACGTTTGTGATACTTGGATATAGCAGGCTAATGATGACCAGGGGCTACAGAGAATGACAAACACTAGTTTATATTGGGTTACTACCTTATATCCTGTAGGCTGTCAACGTTTTTTGTTTTTAGCATTTTTGCTCGCATTGTATTTGCATTTTATGATGCTCACATTTACTATTCTTGCATGCTAGGAATGAGCATTTAAAGAGCTTTATTTTTAATTACCCTTTCAGCTATTAATTAGTGACATAAACAAATTAAATGGACATTTAATTAAATGTTACTCTTAAAAGTGTAAACTGGAAGCAAAGCCCATTGATTTAGAAGCGATATTGTATGCCTTTATCTTAATTAGTCAGGTAGTGTTAGGGATTAATGTACTCAAGCTGTTATATTCATAATCAGATACATCAGCATTTACGTCTTAGGAGCACATGGATGAGTTCTGAGCCCCCTTCTGCCGGGTACAAACTCAGGTTTTGCAGTGGCACCCAGCTTGACAGTGGGAAAATAAATGGCAGTTAAACAGTACAAAACACCCCCTGCAAAGGCACCCGACTTATCTGCTCTTTGACAGCAAGGACCTGAAGAGAAGGAAGGACTGCAGCAGTCTCTCAGTAGCAGCATTTTCCCACTTTCTGGGATGCTGCACCGGGCAGTGCCTCTCCCCAGGACACAACCTCCCTCCCCGGCCCTGGGAAGGGCAGAGCACTGCCCCTCTCTGCTCTGGCCACAGAAAGCAAAGTTCCCCACCCAATATCTAGGTTGTCTTTGTAAATACAGACTGTTGCATTTTATTTGTGTTGTGCCACGATTCCCAGATGCAAACAGGGAAAACATTAACACTGATGAATTCTTGGGGAAACATGAACTCTTATTTATATGAAGAAACAGCATCTACTCAGTGCCAGAGGGAAAATAATGGAGCCCATTTTCAGCCCTTCCCAGTGCTTCAGTTTTACAGGGAAGCACGAGCCTTTTACAAGGTCAGCTGGATCTCAACACAGCCATTAGACTTTCTAAGGTTAGGAAGGGCAGTCTCGGGAGCCCTAGACTGCCTGACACCGCCTCCAGCTCAGCACCCCACCTCGTGCATGCCTGCTGGCACTGTCTGCAGCACGCTTTTCCCAGGGATACTTAGAGAAGAATTGAGAAAACTCAAGATTCTACAGTCTCACGTTACGTGAGGTTTTTGGCTTAAACAGTTGTGGACTAGGGATTGCATGAAGATTTTCTTCCATTGTCTTCTGTTCGCACTCACAGAAAGAAAAATTGTAGGAAACGTGAAAATCTTAATTTCAAGCTTAAACTACAGACTTTTTTCCTCCTCTTTTGTTCATAAAGCATATGTAGCTGCATCAATCAACTCTGAGTAACTCAGCACCGAACCTGAGCGCACAAAAGCAGCTCTAAGGATGAGGAAGGCTGTCTCAAGGACCAGCAAAGGACAGGACCAAGGTGCAGCAGGAGGCACCGGCGGCCGCTCCGTTTGCCATCGGCTGCGCTATCCCCTTCCCGCGCGGCACCAAGCGCAGGAGGGCCCTGCTCCTCCTCAGCTCCCTGGGGGTGGCTGTAGCTCTGCGGAGAGTAGCAGCACCACGTCTGTGCCTGCAGCCCAGGCCATGCCCTGGCAGTGTGTGAGCTTTTAGTCAGCTAAGGCAGGAGCTGGTTCTGCCGGTGTTTTTCAAGCAATGCATTTACCTACGAGGAGAGAGAAATTTAAAAAACTCACTGATTTACCATGTTAAAAAAAAGATGGCACATTTATTGCTACAT